TGTATTGATTTTTGTATTAAAAAGCAAGCTTTTAAGTCGGCGGTTCTTTTGTAGTTTAGCTACAGTTGACATTACAGATTTTAATATTCTAGCGAATTTTACCAAAATGTCAGTTCAAACGCTATTTAACAGGCTTTTTAAATACTCTTTACAAAAATGAAAAGCTATCTAGGATTTCGCAATTGTATTTCTTTTTTTAAAGAAATCGTGCCAATATGTAGGCTTCTAACTGTATTTTCCTTATGATTATCTAAAACACGAATGATTTCAAAGTAAATCACAATTCATATTGAGTTTTAAATTCATTTCATAAAAGCTTTATGGGGAATCAAGGTGTCACCAGCCCAGTCAAAAACTGTAACACAAATATTTCAATTTTTCTCTTTTCTGGAAAGAAAAAAACAAGACTTTTTAAAGATTTATGCCACCCTGGTCGCAAAAAACCAAACGAGTTATTGATATCAAGTCGTAGTGACATATCAAATTCGAAAGGAAAAAAACAGCAGGACAATTAGTAATCTAAAAGCAAAACCGCCAATATATCGTTTAGTTCAGTGATGTGCCTGAAATAGCCTCCTCAGAACCATGTCGATCGAAAGAAACCGTGCGGCATCGGAAAAGACGCAGAAACGCGTTCCTAAAGTCGCGCTTGAAAAACGCATACACCGCGGCGTTCAACAGCGACCCTGCTGTCATGGTGTACCACGAAACTGTCCAGAGTACAGGTGGAATGATATCGTCTCTTTGTAAAGCATCCGCGGCGGTCATGAAGAACACAGGCATCCAGCTTATAACGAAGATACCTGCTATCATAGCGAAAACTCTAGCGACGCGCCCCTCGCCAGTGACTCGTTTACCTTCACGAGCAGTCTGTTGTTGATTATCGTAAGTTGCAAGTTTTGCAAGGTTCTTTACCTGTCGCGCGACTTCACGGAAGATCTTGATGTAGGCGAACAGGATGAAAATGTAAGGAACTACAACACCGCCTACAATGAAGAACAGATAGACTTTTTCTGCAGTTGTACCTTTCTCGTTGTCCCAGATCAACGGTAGAAGGCTCAGTGGAATGGGTAAAATCCAGGCCGTGAGCAAGATTTTGACAAAATGTCTAGTCATCGTGTAAGAATATCGCAGCGAGTTCATAACGGCCAAATAGCGGTCCAGCGTTACCGCAAATAAATTGGTAACGTTCGCGAAAAGAATAAGCGACACCAGATATCCATTGGCAGGGTTGGATTGGTCCGCTATGTTCACTGGAATTAACACAGCACCAAAGAGGATATCTGAAAGAGCCAAAGACACTATAAAACCGTTTGTGAAAGTTCGCAATTTGCGGAAGCGATACACCAGAAAGCAGACCAGGAGATTTTCCAACGTAATTAAAACGCCAAGGATAACCAAAGGTATTGCTTCGCTGAGCAGTTTTGTCGTCGATTCTGTTTGATTAGCCATTTTTTACACGGATAATCAATTCAAAGATCCGCGTTGGCCACAGTACGTCCCGATGCGATCGCAAATTTCAATTAGCTTGTGAAAGCCAAGTCGTGGTGGGGTTCCCCCTAAAGCAATTCAATAACTTGTTTCTTCGTTCAAA